TGCTAGTGAAAGTGGATACGTATTTTGGAAAGTGTAATAAGAGGTTGTGCTATAGCTTCTGTTGGTTGAGAAAAGCCCATAAAAATCAGCATTTACATGTTGTCATTGTTTTGACTGAAACTTCCTTTAAATGTGTTTCCTTTCCAGCAAGCATATGTGAGAGGTGACCTCTTATCCATTTACATACCTCCCTGGTGCTCACGTGACCCAGTTTTACGTCAAACTGTCCATTATGATAAGGAACACAATAAGAACAGCCTAAGTGTTGATAACCTGTTTCCTGGTGTTACTGTGAAGTTCTGTTTAAGAGTCTACTTGTGTTCTTCTTTCAGCCTTCTGCTGAAAGCTACAGCAACGTCCACCCAAAGCATTTTGCAAACAGACACTCCGTGTTCCGTGGACATCTAAGTTCACAATTTCCATGACGAATAGCAGTGTGAATCGAACTCCATTTCCAACTGTGTGATTCAGTAAAGGATGCATCTGGTAAGAACAACTTCCTACCAATGAGGCAGGGCAGCCTGGTGTGTTGGAAATAAAAAGCTATCTGCAATTTTCTGGTTTCACATTTTAGAGAACTGAAGTGTTTCTTATGACTACGTACATGGCAAATGTCTCGCTCATAAATGTCAGAGCTTTGTGAAAACCACGCTTACTGCACACCACACCTGGAAAGTTCAAGCTCTAGTGAAAACCATCATATTAAAAAGTGCAAAGACTGGAAGAGCTCACTAGCTCCTCAGCAGCTGGGCCAGTATTAGTTAGCACAGCTTACTGTAATAGACAGGAAAGTTCCAGAGGTTATTGTCTTCACAGGCCTCAATAGACTTCCCATTTATTTATATTTTCTAATTAAACCAGAATCACCCATACAAGGCTCCAAGGTGCATTAAAATTAAATAAATGGCCAAAAAGAAAACCTCTCAGTTATTTAATTCATTCCAACAGATATCTTATTATTTGTGAAACCATTACTCTGTATTTGCAATAAATACAAATGTTTAACTATCCAGCCAGCCAGCCACCTTTTCTGTACTGTTTATATAGGTAAAGTGCATGACTAGTATTTCTGGCAACATTCTAGCTTTATAGCCAGAACCAACATCAACCTGTCTCTAAGTGTCTATCATTTCAAGAACATAATAAATTAATGAAGTTGAGAACAGTAACACAAGCAGGCTGCAGAAATGCCATCACACAACCAGGAGAATTCTGATCATTGAGCCTGTTACCGAACTCTCCATTAAACTGTTACTGTCCTCTCCATTAAAATTATTTAGCCAAAAGAATGGAGACACAACTAGAATCTGGAAAGGGACTGTGTCCACTTGTAGAATATTGAATTTGACTGAGTTTCCTCAATTTGTTGCTTTTTCCTCTAGTCTAGGCTTAGAAACCACAAGTCTGCAGTAGGTACAAATCAGAGAAAGAAGGGTGAAAAAATGTGCCTCGTGATTGTGAAGATTATCCAATCTTTATGTGCATTTCATTTAAGATGCTTCTCAGCACACACGATGAGCATCGAGCACTGGACTTGACTTCATAAAATAATCCCACCAACAGTAAAATTAAGAAAAACTCTCTCACTCAGGTACTAGCTCTTATCACTTCCCCTGCCCCTTCCTGTGGTACACTCCCTGCAATTATATTATCAATACTTAACAACTCTCACAAGCTGAATCAAGAAAAGTAAACCAAACAGTCATTAACAATTCATAATACATAGGTAGGGTGGGGCTGACAGGACTTTTTTTACAGAAAAATTATATCACACGTGACTTTTTAGATGCCAGTGAACAAAGAGGCATGTTTCGTAACTGTTCATGTCACGTTACAGAAATACCTGGCATTTCAAGGCAGTTAAAAGGAAGACCCACCAGCAATTACAGCAGAAAGCGGACTGCATAGTTGCAATTCCTCATTAGAACCTTGTCTTCCTAATTATCAAGGTAGCATGCTAAGTAATGCATGTAACAGTATCTTTTTCACAGTATCCAGATCAGTAAAAGCAAATAAACTGCTCCCATTGGTCCTATTTTGCACTGTCTTTCAAAGCTGTATTGAGTGCTTCCCATCTAAACGTGAGTGTTCCAGGTAGGTTGTGCTATAAATTGTTTCCTGGAAGTTCTAGCAAACTATCACTTTGTCAAAAGACTCCCTGTAAGTGTGTGTAGCAAAATGTCCGTGTAACTTTTAAATTTATGGTGGCTACTGTAATTTAAACAGGCTACATAATGGTTCTTTTTAACAACAACAACAAAAAGTACTTAATAGTATATGCCAATATTTCTCATAACCAGAGAGAATAAATCTTCATAAAGACTCCTCCAATGAACTAAAAACAGTACTGATGACAATATTTATTCTTAAGGGGTCAATGTGCATTACAGGGTACGGTGAATGTTTAAAAGACCTCTCTGGAACTAAAACCATTGGCTTTCTAATTCAGAATTTCTCTCCACTAATGCAAAATGATTGATTGCCTTTATTTCATGTACCTCTTGATTTTTCTTTTCATTCATCATGGGCTGCTTCAAACCAAATGCATTCAAAATCTACCACAAGAAGAGTGGTCTCTTTTAAATTGTTGTAAAGTAATGAAAGGACATAGTAAATCAATCTCATTTCTGCCTAACCAAAGGATAACCTTTGCTCTATTACAGTTGTTTAGACAGTCTCAGTGCTTTACCTCACTTTCTGGGTACTAAACATATATGGCACTGTCATCTCAGAGATGCCTTCAGGATTTAAATGAGTGAAGGTAACTAATTCATTAGAAACTTATATATACGCACTCATATAACTGTATTTATCCATCAGAAAAAGCTTTGTTTTTAAGTATTCCGTTCTTTCAAGTGGTTTCAGCAGTACATACTATTCCCTAATTTTGTACATATTTATATGTGTACATCCACATATGCACCCCCCGCCACAAACACACTAAGGCAAGAATGCACATATATCCATTGCATAAGTTAGAAAAGAGTAGAGAATACACAGCAAAGATTAAACCATGACACAATGTTTAAATTTACTATATGGCTTACTGTTCACCAATTGATGCTTCTGAAACAATATAACGAGACTTTGAATCAATATACTTTAAAAAGGAGAACATTGGTTTCACACAGTGGCATTGAATAATTTTTCTGTTTATGAAGTGTGTGTGAGATCTAATTTATTTTCTCCTTCTCCCTAAGCCATCTGGCCACACGCTTTACCATGAAAGGGAGTATAAGACACAGTGTGTGTAAACACCAAATATTCTGATGACCCTTAAGATCTCTCTCACTTTTATGTTCCTATGACACTGCTGAAATCTCCAAATTTATTTCTATCTACACAAAGCCAAAAATATATAGAAGATGCATGAAGTAAACAATAGATGATTTACATGTCCTAAACTCAGCCGAGATAAAATTAAGTGTGCTGCCACTACCCTATGGCATGCAACAAGAAATTTGTAACTCTCCCAGTGAACTTGGAAGAAGGTGGAGTGGGCTTAAGCAGTAGCACATTCACAGAAAAAATTGTGTCTAAAAACATGTAGTAAAAAGAAAAAATTATTGCACTGCCCCAAATTAACTGGATGTCAGAGACTTTTCAAAGGATACTATGTAAAACTTCACATGAAAAGAAATCCAGAAATTACACCACTGTGTTTAAAAAGAGAGATGTGTGTGTTTCAAAACACAATAAACACATACTGTATATGTTTTGAAAAGAACCATAATATAACAACAATATTTGAGAGGTTTAAAAAAAAAGCAATACACCAGAAAAATTACTGAAAAACGAATGGTTGGCCAAGCCACTAATTGTCATTTGGTATTTTCATAAAAGCATACAGATGTTTCCAATCAGGTCTCACCGGTTAAAAAGAAAGTTGGCAAAGCATCAACTATCTTGAATAAAGCATCATCTTTATGATTTTCTCTGAACTCTGCATGTGGTGACCTTTAAAACGGACATACTGCCACCTTGCCCTAGGAGTGGGTAGGGATAGGGAGGTACAGATGAAGAACACTTCAGCTGCATCTCAGCGAACACCAAACAGGTAGGTTTTATGGAAAAACGAAACAGGCATGCGCACCAACTGTTGACAGGAACCCAAGCCCGAGAAAAAAATACAGTACAAAAAATAACAAGGGCTATTTAACACCTCTTTTCTTACTGCCATATTCAGGATTTTTCCTTGTAACATTTTACATGCTGTTAATTTCAAAGTCCACTACCGTTAAGACCTAGGAGCAACACAAACACGCATCATAAAATATGTTAAAGTTCTAAAGGGTCTGAATTTATTCCTGGTACTAACAATGCAGCATTTCTGTATATGCATGGCCTTGCTATTGACTGTAGCTAATTTGTTTGTAAGCCATCATTAATCTCGGCTGTATATTTTCACAGTTTGCGTAAACACTTCATTTGCATTAAATTTACAGCATTAATGAGATGTGAAATTTAAAATGCTACTTGAAACATAAATGATGTAAGAAACTAGAACAAAAACGTGGTTTTATCACGTTAGAAATCAGCAGACCAATTTAAACCTATTAAACTAGAAATGATGATGTGTTGCATTGAGAATTTGGCTTTATAACTCACCTTCTAAAACTAACATGAAGAAATGTAGGCTTGAACATCTGGGGGAAAAAAACTAAATAACTTGAAAATAATAAGTTGGACATTTTGCTCTGAAAATGTAGCTTATTTTTTAAACTGAGTATTTGTTACTTATCCATCTCATTCTCTTTCCTAAAATCCTACTAAAGATTACATGTATGAGCTCTTGAAAAATGAAATAATTTAAAGAAATACGATTAGAAGTTCCTTAAGATGACACAAATCTAAGACATAAAGCATATGTTTCTTAAAGGGTTCACCTTTGTTTTGCACAAACTTCACCTTCAGATCACAAATACCAAAACCTGTAGGATCCCAGTCTAACCCAAGGTAACAGTGGCAGCACGCAGGAAGGTAATATCACAAAAGCTTCTCTATATCATTAGACCTATGTGAAACTTGCCCACCTGTTGCTGGTGTAGGAAGGATGGGTCTCTTGGACTTAGTCCCACATATCGATTGGCTTGGGATGTGCCTGAGGCTGTGTAGGCTGATTAAGGAAGAACAAAACAGATTGATAAAAATACCAACCTATCATAACTACTACCCTGTCCAGGTACAGCACAAATATGAGAGATCCAGAGTTATGATTTTGCAATATATAGGATGTGTCTGTGTTTTTCCTTTGTTTACTTAATAAAATGCAAAAGAAAAAATGGACCAAATTTGTAAAGGTGTGTGTAAATTCCTATGAACTTCAATGGAAGCTGCATGTGTAAAACATAATGATGTCCCTTGTTAAATAAACGTTCCTCTGATTAATATTTTTTTCAAGTGATTAAATAAGTATTTGAAGGAATCATAAGCCTGATTCTCATTTCCATTACACCAATCTAAGGCATCAGTGAAATCACCAAGATTACAATGCTGAGAGAAAATATTAGTGCACACTTATTCTTACTGCTGTGAAGGCCCATCACAAAACTGTAAGAAAACAACAAAAACTGGAATCAAAAGTTCAGTTTACTTATGTGGCATGAAGTGAATCTTGACAGGCCTTTGGAAACAGTGTGTAATCTCATTAGTATTTTCATGAGAAAGGAGCTAACTTTTACTGTGCAATATAGTATTAAATATTCAACTCCCCTATGCATCAGGAAACATTTTTCCAGGGGGACAATTTAAGGAAGTCTCCCGCTGTCTGCTACAGACGATTACAGAAGTCCATTTCTGAGGAGAAAGGGAATGGTAGGTGATGCTGGGATTAGTTACAGGACATGGATCCTTCACCTGCAGACCACATTCCTGTCTGGTCTCTGTCAGCAATCCCTAAAAGCCATTACTCGCTTTTGGTGGCTTTTGGTGGCATTTCTGAAATGAGGCAGGTGGTCTTACTCCACTTCCCAGTGTGGAGGTGTCCCCACACTGCAATTTGCAGTGTCACAACCTGGAAACTTGCAGGCAGACAAAGCAAAACTGCTAAAATTGAACAGACATCGAGAAGGATGCCAGGGAGGAGCTAGATGGGAGTATTTACTGAATTGGCTTGTTAGTATTAAAGTCACACAGCAAACACAAGCAAATTAAATCCACTAAATTTAGGGAGGGGGAGGAAGCTTTATACAGTAAACAGGCTTTACTCAAAAGCTGTCATAAAAATTAATCCGTTATTAGAAGGAAATTATGGTGGAGGCCACAGGGTTCCCCAAATATTATCAAAGCCTGCTGTTCTTTCTCATTCAAAACAATTCTGCTATTGCACTTCAGAACGAAAAGTAGTGCTAATCATTTGCTGTTTTATTCTCATCAGATTGAATAATAATGATAACTTGTTGGCCAGCGCATGTTTCATATATCTCTCTATATCTATTTTGAATCAATCATTCAGTTATTGCAAATAAAAGTAAAACTATGCCTTAAAACATATTTAGTCCTGATTTTCCCATTAAGTTAACATTAGCACTCTGTGTGGCAGGTCTATTATGACTGTTAATGTAGTTTATAAGTATTCATATATAATTTACATATCAGCAGGACATGATCGCTCATTTTTTGTTATTTTCTTCGTCAACAAGCTATGTTCCTTCACTTTTTCTTTCTTACAGTTACCAATTCAGTTTCAAAAGGCTTTACCAAGCAGATAGACTACTGAACTGCTCTGAAAACCATAACACTCCGAACACGTAGCATTTATACGCTATCTCATATGCAGAACTGGCACATTCAAATAAAATTTGTACATAGGGGTTTTTTATTATTATTTAGGTGCTGTAGTGACAGGCATTGGATCTTTAGACAAGAAGTTACTTGCACACTGCTGTGGAAGCATGAGGAGTCCTTATTTTAAATATCTAATCCAAGATGTTCCAAAGTTCATGGAGAATCAGGTACCCAAGTTCCACTGAATTGCACAAGAAACTGTGTGCCAACTTCACTTTAAAATATAGTCCAAAATTTCCCTTAGTAGTAGTACAATGAATAGATAAGGTTTGCTTTCCTGTAATGATAAATAATATGGTCAGATTACCAGAACACATCCCAGTGCAGTTCTGACATTGTATTTTTTTCTTTTTGCCTTTTGTATTACAAACCCTGACCTCATTTGAGACAGCTCTTTAGGCCAGGCATGATCATGTCAAAAAGGAAGCAGAAAGAAACCGTGAATACTTGAAACTCTACATTAACTCAGTTTTCTCAGTCTTCTATTACAGACCAAAAGTTCAGAGCAACGGCTTCTTGTTTGCTGCTAAAATTAACTCATCTTAAAAGGCTCAAGAACTGTACCACAAATCACCAGGGAAGATACAGATATACTCTACCACCAGAATTCCTGCTATACTAAAAGAACAGCTAAAATAGTTCCCTAAATCTATCCATATAATTATTTGTTTATACTTAAACAATAGTTTGTCCAAAAGTTACTATTATCCTTTTATAATAAAGGCTTAACCAGTTTTCCTTCTTTACATCTTGGCCACTTCCATGCATTCGTGTCTCAACTCTGCTTCACATTCTAATGAGAAGATTTCAAGCAGTATAACACCTAAGAAACATACAGTGTATGGCCTCCATTAATGACAGACCAAAAGTTAGGGAGTGAATTTGGAGTTCAAATACTACACAGGTGTAAAACAAGTCATTCTAATGTAATGAACCCTAAAGAGATTAGTATTTTTAAAGACTGGTAAGTTTTTTTCCGAAGTGTGTATTTGGAAATGTCTCCTAAAAATCTTCCCCACTCTGACAAAACTGGTAACACTGCCCATATCAAGTCCAAATAAAAGTTCAAAGACAACAGAAATGCACATAGTAGTTAAAAAGCAGCATTCTGCATCACTGAGCATAAGATGAGTATTCGGAAGAGAAGAAATTGCCCTATAGAGAGTAACACCTCGGCTCTTATTTCCAAAACCACAGTTCCATTGAAGGTAATAGGATAAATAATATGGTCCTATATAGTAATAAAGAGCTTAAAACATTAAAGTTAGGGTTTGGCTTTTTTAAAAAAAAACAGTGGATCTACCATCCATTGCATCAATGACAAAGAATTAAAATTTTCTTTTGCCATGTCAGTTGTTTTTCTAAAAAAGACACAACCTATATCAACATGCAATTGTCATAGCTCAGATTCAGTACGCGTGGAAACAAGGCTTGATTTCTGTAGGAAAGCTCATTGAGTAGCAAATCATCCAATCTCTGTTTGGAATTCTGTCTGCGGGTCATTGTAAAACCTTGCTGTCTGGGTGTGCTTCTCAATGTCTTAAACTGTCCACCTTAGATGAACAATCATGTTTTCTTTCTCTTGAATGGTGTTCAAATATGCAGGCTTTTCCCTTTCATTTTGGTTGTCATGTCACAAATTTTTGGTTCATGTAACATGATGCATTGGTTGAAATTTGGGGAGGAAAAGCTTTGCAGTTAGATCACGTTTGCTCTCCATGTAAAATGATGAGCATCCACTTGGTCAAATAGTAGGAAAAGGCGCCTTTTTCTGGCCTCGGTTTGAAATCATATCGAATCTTCGACAGACATTTTTTGTTTCCTAAAGAAATACTTACTGGTTGCTGTAGGTGAAGATGCCTCACCTTCAGTGGATGTAGTGATGGGTTTAGTATCTGTCATGGTCAGGGTCACAGGTCGCACCGCACTGTGATGGGGAGAGGGTGCCAAAACTGGAGTAAAATGGCCAGGCACTTTCCCTACTACTTGACCACTGCTGTTAGGCTACAAAACAAAACCAAAAGAACGCCTCGTGAAACATACACATTGTGTTTAATGAATCTACCCACCTATCTTAGGGTTTTCCAGAATGCCCATCACCACGGTACCTCCGTGCTGGAATGCAGTGTTCTAACAAAGCTACGAATTTCTATGTGGTATTTTCAGCAGGCAGATCCCTCCTCAGACAGGTAGTACATGCTTAAGTAGCAGTGTTTTTTGGCAAGCTTGCTTTCTTTCTGGATGCAACATGCATCCAATTGTTCAAAATATCTTTTCTGTTCCTGCAGTAGCTATGAACCACAGCAAGTCCCACGATAGCAGGATTAAACTGACCAGGCATAGGCCCTAATATACGAAGTATTAAGAGCAAATGAATGATGCAAAACCTCTGTTTTCACATGCCATACCACTCTGGCTTGGAGTATAACCAAGACTTGACCACAGTTGTCCACAGAGATTATGCATACTGGAAGGCTAACCAATAATTCACGTTTGGAAGTGAGGAAGAGGGTTAGGATACAATGCACTATAATGCATACATCATAACTTCTGGCCAAAAGCCGCCTACTAAAAACACAGAAGCGCTTAATAATGGGAACTTTGCAATTCAAGAGCGTAATAAACAAGACACTTCTTTCTTGGATACAAAAGGCAGTCTGCATATGACCTTATGGCATAGGTCATCTAGGTAATATGCCACTTTCTGCATACAGGCACATCTGAATTTGGCAGTCTTCACTGGTAAAAGTGTATGTTTACCCAGTGCTTAAACACGCCTTAGACATTCAACGTGACTGTAAATATGCCAATGCTACATAACTTGCAGAAAAAAATAACAACTAATAAATGGTTCTTTCAACAGTGGCTGGTAACTTTTGTCTTAAACAGATTCTATGTTCTGTGATTCACAGGTATTTTAAAATACAGTCATACAAAGTAAAAAATACTGGGAATCTTTTTATCAGAAGGATCTTGTCAAATTTGAGATAACTCAGAGTAAAGAAATGGGCCGATAAAGGACCTGATTCAACTGATACAAGGAAAGGTTAAAAGAGGTAAGCATGACTATGGTAATGAAATAATAACTAGGCTGAGACAATTACTGCAAGTAATGTGCAGAGTATAAAAATGTCGAAGAGGAAGGAATTATTTGGAAAGTACAGGAAGTATAAACTCGGGGTAATGGAATGAAATTGAGAAGGAGGAAACTTAGAATTAACAGCAGGAGAAACTTCCTGGCAGTATGATCTACTAGACTTGGCAAATTCCCCCAAGGGAGAGTCTTGTTCTTTAGGACAGCCAAAACTAAGTTAGAAGAAAACATCAGAAAATATAAGTGCAAACGAAGACCAATCTTGTGTTCATAGGAACACTGAGCAGTTAGCAAACTATTTCGGTCTCTGAAATCACAAGCTTTACAATGAAAAATAACAGTGAAGATGTACACTAATGAGAAGCAGCCAACAAACTAACCCTCTAAATGAAAAGAAGTTACCCCCTAAACCTAACCGCATGTTTGGGGCGGGGGGGGTGGTGGTGTTGGAGCTGGGATGGGGACAGATGAGCTATGGAATCCCAAGATCTTGCAAAGATAGAAATTGTGTGGTACTTACCAGTTTGCATTCATGTTCCTAGTTGCATAAGCTAAGAAGTTACTACTAGGAGTTTAGTAACGGGAATAAGTGTCAGCTGTCAAAGTAGCTTCAAAATAAGAAAGCAGCAGAGATTCAAAGGAATCACAACACTTTCACAAATAACACAATTTCCACAAATAACTGGCATGCTACATGAAGTTTTGTTGACGAGGTGAAACTTAACAGTTAGCTAGATATCCCTCATTACGTGTATTTGAAATGAAAATGAGATGTGGCAGGATATATACAAGACAATTTCTAGAGAATAATGTGGCCTAAGCGTTTACTGAGCATTTTCTTGCACGCTGATATGACCAATGGGGTCATAAGTGGGGAACTCACTCAGTAATTACAAAGGCATGTCCTCAAGAATACAATTTACGTACTTTATATTAAGTAGGTGTCAATAAGCCCACTTTCTTTGTTATCTATCTTAGCAGAGGTTTAGGAAATTTCATTTTGTGGAGGCTATTAAAATAAGTCTGCCAGCCTCTAAAACCAGGTGTCCTGGCAACCAGAAATCTGACGCCACCTGCCTTAGAAAAAAAAATGAAAATTTTAACTAACATCAATTCAGAAAATCTGTGAGAGTTACCTAAAACAAATTCACCATGCAAATGACCCAAGATACTCCAAAACTTAAAGGCAAGCATCCTCACTCACTGGTTGTCCAACTTGAGACATCTCGATGTTGCAGTAAAACAGGCTCTGCCATAGGTTCGGGAGCTGTGACACGGTTTGAAACATTTGTGGGCAAAACTGTCACAAATATAGGCAGGCCTTATGATAAACTTTCCTCCAAAACACTGAAATTCTTGCTACATTGGACTGGATTTTCAGCTTGTTTCTGGGGAGCCTGCTGCAGAGGCAAGCCCCCTCTCCTGCCCTGGAAGCCCAGCTGTTCACACAGCCTGCTGGAGGGACTACCACCCTGGAGCTCCTAGGTGAAGTCACCGACCTGTGACTACCACAGGGCTACCTTCGGATGCCCCATCCCTGGAAGTGTTCAAGGCCGGGTTGGATGAGGCTTTGGGCAACCTGGTGTAGTGGAAGGTGTCCCTGCCCATGGCAGGGGGGTTGGAACTAGATGATCTTTAAGGTCCCTTCCAACCCAAACCATTCTATGATTCTATGATTTAATACAAATTCATTTTGTCCTTATTTAAAACAAGTTCTAAGTTGCAGTTCATTTTTCCCTGAAGAGATTCTTACAGACAAACACAGTACAGGTGAAAATCAACCGTTACCATCAACTAGGGCATCAATATGCCTGTGTGATGGATTCACAAACAGAGAGATGATGCCTGAGGCATAAATCTCAAGCAAGTTGTATGGAGGCAGCTGTGTTAGATAAACAAGCTGTGCATTTGAAAATGGGAGAGACAAAGAAGCAAACACAATGAAGGTCTGGCAAATTTAGCCCAAATTTATGCAGGTATACATTTTTTTTCTATTGTTGGACTGGAGACTAATTTGATTTAAAGATCTGTGTTACCTTTTTCAGCTTTTTCATTCAAACCATCTTGAACTGCTACAGATTAATCCATTCATGTGCTCAAAGCCACAGATGAGTTATACTCACTGTCATAGCTGTAATGTAACTTAACTTAGATTGTCTGACTGTTAGTATCTGGTTGTGTGCACTATGCCCACTTTCAGTTAATCCTTAGGTCTGAAGTCTGAACAGAAACTTGTAACAAATATGAATATGGACTTCCTTAAAATCAGGATTCACGATACCTGTTTTCCCTACTGGGATTTTACTAACATATTTATAACCAACAATTAAACAACCTCCTCTCAGACTTCTGTTCACATATTGGCCCTAATATCAGCTCATTTACACCTTAGGTCTTCAGAACAGTGTTTTGTCATATAGCTCACTACTTCCAGCATCAAAACATCTTTCTGATGTCATGGTGAAATGACAATGCTAACATCTACAAATGAGATATCCAAACATAACAGACATTTGGCACACATATTAAACAATTCAGATAAACTATCAAGTTGCTTAAAATGTTTAAATTTGCATAGCATCTTTTTTTACAAAAGAATTGTAATTATAATTCCAAATTCCAAATAAAATAATTTCAGTTTTCCTTGGTATCTTAAATACAAAGCATCTTCAAAAAAAAAAATCAAAAAAAGCCAGAAAAAAAATCTTAATCCTGTGCATGTTCTAGGTAAAGCTACATGAGATACTGTGTTAGGCATTTCAGAACTTTAAGTTTCAGGGCTTAATAAAAATTATGTTATTCCTGCTAAGTACTATACTTGAAGAACAACATATTTGTATCTCAAAACACATTTTTCAGTAGAAACTCTGTGTTTCCTGAGAAGGCTACCCTATTCTAGGCAGCTGATCAACCAATGAGTGCAGTTTAGTTAAACTGGATTCAGTGTGTTTGGAAATACTGTCACCTATTTCTTCTCAACATTTCCAGCCCCTTGTAACGGCAAAGTTCAGATATTATGGTGAAGAAAATCCCTGCAAAACCCTACGGCAGTGTAGTTTTGAGACCACTGATTGAATTAATTTTGTTGATAAAGCTGTAGAAGATCCAGTTCTGCACGTTTTGGTCCCCTGCTCACAGTATCTTATTTTAACAGTTGTCTACTAGCCACCTCTATGAACCTGAAGATCATAGCTGGTAAGTTCTGTCTTTGAGTCCATGTCATTGTGCTCCGTGATATCCACACGGGTGACGGATGTGTCAGAAAATCTGCAGGTAAAAGAAACTGGAAGAAATACCTTCCATTTTTCTAAACCCTCTGCCTCTTTTTTTTTTTTTTTTTTTTTTTTTGGTTATACAATGTAAACCTGACCTTTCATCTCAGCAGAGCTTTAGCCTAGGGCACCCTAGCCTCCCACTGGAGACAGCTCCATGTTACAGGAGGCAGTTTCCTCAAATGCGCGGCAGAACTATCCTCAAGTTATTACCTATCTCAGTAAGATAACACAGTGCCTTTGAGTCTCTGCTAAATGTAAGGGAGTGACATCATTAGACCACTGCCACTGAGACTGTAGAAGGTGTTGTAGGGCAACTCCTCCTCAGGTTGAACTCAGCCGGTTCCACAGAGTATTTATTTAACAAGAAGCAAGGCTATACAGATTTCCTTTCTGCTATTGAGCATCATGGTAGCAACAGAAATGTACTTTGCCTTTTTATAGCACCCCCTACCACCGTTGAATCTTACTAGTCTCCATACCCTTGCAACCTGAGTAACTCATCACTACAGCACATCTCACACAGACCTCACTGGGAGATGCCACACAAAAGCTTCAGGTGACGTGACATGCAGCTACCTGCCCGCCGGAGGAATGAGCTTTAGAAATAACATGTTGTTGCCAGTACTTGGCTGACAACATCACTTCTGTACTACTTTCTGAGAGAAATCAAGGTGTTGACTTTGATCTATAAAGCTCTGAGTCTCATCCATTTGAGAAAGCATTTTGCCCTTGATGTAACGCTGCTGAAAACGAGAGCAACTGCAGAGCTTCTGCAACCCATGTTCAGACACAGACGTTGTAAGACATTCTAGGCGAAGAGTCCTCCATCCTGAATCACAATTTTACCTGTGAGCTCACAGAATCTGAATTACTTGTCAACAGGTAGAGCACAAGAAAATACCCAGCTTTCCTTGTACAGATGCCTTAACTACAGGGTAACTCTGTGTTACACAAGCATGAGAAAGGAAATCTCTTTGTAGATAAACGTTCAAAAGACATCTTTGGGTTAAATGGTATTTCATGCCCTCTGGAGACTTACAACTGTGCATTTAATAAACTAAAAAATGAGCAAACTAAATACAAAGTAATCATTTACAACTGCAATTAAATCTTCAAATGCCTTGTCAGTAGGCACAGTTGAGCTAGTACTTTCTCTCTGCCTCCCAATCACAATTAAAGATAGCACATTGCCATATTTAATCATCAATAATTTCTTGAAAACTGCAAGGAAAAACTTGTCCAAGAAGCTGAAAACTATTAAATGTCAACAAATAAAGGTGCTACCTCTACCAAAGACACCATATGCATATCTCCTGTGTCAGCTTATTCTGGTAGTACTCTCCCAGGAACCAACAGGAAAGCCTTTGACCAGCCCAAACAGAGCCTCACAAGATTCTCTCCTCGTGGCTAAATGACTGCAGTTATTGTATTGAAGAAAGACAAGGCATCTGCCTGGCAATCCTGAAGAGTGCACCTATCTTTCATTGAACAAAAAACTGAATACCCCAGCCAATTATCAGGGGAAAATAAGTGGCCTCATCAGCTTCCAGAAGCAGCTCTTCTCAAGCCATTCAGATATTTCTGTCTTTAGATAAAGATAAGACCATGAAAAAGATAAAGCTGCAAACTAGCAGCAACAAAGTACATTTTAATAGTCCCAGGAATTCTTCTGTGGACAGTGGTTCACATGGACTGTAGCATGTAAGAAATGTAAGCCATTTATTGTAAGAGGAAAAGAGTCCAATGCTTAACTCCCCCAGATTAGAGGCAGTTTTACCATGCCACTGAAAACTGCATTACTTCATCAAAAGTACCATTAAATTCGATGTAAGGTTACCTGTAAAATGCACCCTTCATAATCCAAACTCAAAGGGATTGCAAGATTGTCTACTTCTGTTTGCTTGGTTCAGTCAGAAAAAAAATTTCTCACTGATGCCCGAATGTTCTTCAGCAGGATTCACCTTAACTCTTTGCTTTACCATTGTTTCCACCATGCTTGCTGACCCTTCTTCTGTGATTCACTGTACCTTAATCAGGAAATTATTCCATTTAACTTGACGGGGCATTATGTTTGGAGCTTTTGGTTTTGACTTCAGCCACACAAGTGCTGTCATGCTTGGTGATCAGATTGGAAGCCTGATTTTGATACTGTATATTGATTCATACACTCTCGATTATCAATGCATTTCAAGTGTGTGCAGATTTGTGTCTGTGCACGCGCACGTGTCGATACACACAGAGGAGGTAATATTTTCCAAGATTAAAAGATTCACCCATCTGGGATCACTCAGAAAGGAAATCCGTGCTCAAAATTTGCAATAGCTTTGAAAACCTGAGTACACTGTAGGAGGATAAACGCCGTAGGTGGATCAGACACGTACCAATCAGTTTTTGCTGACACTTGCACTGAGTAACCAGCACCAGTTTAACTGTGGAGAGAGCAGCACCCCATCACAATACGGGTACAAGCTCGGGCACACAGTCTCACCCAGTAACGTGTGTGCCTGGCTAAGAAAAGCATTGACGTGAGTACAATAAAAAGGGCTCAGCAGAATTACTGAATTAGTGGAAAGTACATCAGTTCTCAAAACCTTGGGAACTTTTCAAACTATTAGTTGGAGGCAAGTCCAGCTCTGTATCTAACAAGGTCCACTTCTGTTTGGTACATTTGTTTATTTATATTCTCCAGATTGAACAGGGGATAAAAAGCAGATAGGCACGAAACCGACAGCCACAGCTCTCTATTGTTTAGGATCATCCATTGTTGAATCATTTTTCACTGAAGCCAAAGGGCCTGTTTGAACTTCCTGACTGTTCATCACACATAATTTGGAGTACTTAACATTACGTCAAGAAAATTGCCCACTGCTTCCCACCGTGCAAACCTATGGAAGCTCTATATTTTTAAACTAATTTTACTTAAAGTATTCCATTGAATAGCATGACTGTCTCACTATAATCAGTGCAGCAGTAATGTAATTAATCTCAAAATTGCTGTGGGGAGTACAAGGCATCTCAGTTGCTTGTCGTAACAATCTAAATTAGCGTATTACTGAAAGATGTTGGGGAGGAACAGTTCATTTTAGGTAAATGCTGTCAGGGTATCCATCCTTTCTATTTCTAAAGCTGAAATTAAAACTATCATCATAGTTCTCCTTTTGAAATCCAAATGAGTATGTTTTGAGGTGGCAAAGTATAATTAAATTTGATGTGGTATTCCTACAGATGCAGTTTTGCATTTTACAATAATTAAATTTGTTTGAATAAAAATTCATGTTTTATTTAGAAAAGAAAAACTGGTTTGGCTCAAAGCATGCCATTGTATCAGAACAATTCCCTTTTGTCACTGAAACTTCACAGACGGCTGCTTCTTCTTTTCCTAAGCAAAAAAATATTC